GAGGACGTATGTGAGCCCCGGAAAATGATAAATCTGATGATGAAGATGATGATATGATGATGATGATTCTGATGATGATTCTAATGATGAAGACTACGAGGATAATGGAGAAGGAGATCAATATAATAGAAATGGGGATTTTGATAATGATGTTGATGATGATGGTGATGGTGGTGATAAAGCTGATGCTGAAGATTACAAAAATGATGAAAAGGATGATGCTAGGGATGATGAAGTTTATTAAATGATGATTATGTGTAGAAAGATGATGGAGATGGTTAAGAATATAATGGTGATGGGTGTGATGATGATGATAACGCTGATAAGGATGCTGATGATGATGATGATAAAAACTATTATGATAATGTCTTCGTTGAAGCCCGACCCTCTTTAATGAGGACGTGTGTGAGCCCTGGACCATGATAAAGCTGATTATATGATGATGCTAATACTGATGATGAAGACTACGAGGATAATGGAGAAGGAGATTAATATAATAGTGATGGTGATTTTGATAATGATGATGATGATTATGATAATGGTGGTGGTAGTCATATAGCTGATGCTTAAGATTATTAAAAGGATGATGGTGATCATGATGAAAATGAAGATGAATATGATGGTGGTGGGTGTAATGATGATATTGATGATGCTGATGACGATGAAAATAAAGATAGTGATGATGTGATAAGGCTAATGCTGAAGATTACGCAAATGATGAAAACGGTGATGATAAGGATGATGAAGATTAGTAAATGATGATGAAGTGTAGAAAGAGGAGCGAGATGATTAAGAATAAAATGGTGATGTGTGTGATGATAATGATAACGCTGATAAGGATTATGATGATGATGATGATGAAAAATATTATGAAAACCCTCTTTGAGGAGGACGTGTGTGAGCCTCGGACCATGTAGATTTAGAGCAGGTTAATCTGAATAAATATACAAGGTCTGTGCAAATGCCTCTATTAAAACAGCCTTTTCTGTTGACAACATTTGCTCATCGATGCATGCGTGTGCATTCAGCCTCGTTCATTTTCTTGATGATAATTGCCAAGTATATATACTCTCTGTTTTTTATTGGCAATCTTCCAGGAAGGGAAAATTATGCATTACGTGTTTGCGTTTATGGCAATCTCAGCGAATGTATGCCTCAGTAAGTCACCTAAACCGGCTTAAAGGAGGGCAGCAGGTATGCCTGACGCATCGGGGACTTAATTATGGATGGACAGAGACAACGATAAAACACGAATTCTGCAAGCAAGAGACCACAGGTCACCCTTGCTGTACCTAAGCCTTGGACGATCCAGGCAGGCTGCTTCTGTCCCCTCAGTTGTCCTCGCCACATTTTTTGCCCAAATGTTGCGTATGTCTGGCAACCTTATTTGTCCACGCTCTTATTAGTATTAGATCACGAAGAGACACGCAAAATGGATGCATACCGTAAATGGTACTGGCCCACGGCATTGAGACCGACCAAAGCTTTCTCAAAAATACGCCAATCTCGTCATTTATTAGAGTCAACAATAGAAAAATACAGCTTGCATGCAGCCGAAGTGTTGTTTGATCCGCTACGCAAAGAAAATGTGTCTAACAGATTGGCATGAAAGGTAGAAGAAGAGAAATTTTTATATTACCCTTTCTCGGCATCGCCTCACTTTGGACCAGTCTTCTTATGCACACAAATCTTTCTCTAAATTTGTTTAATTTCACAATTTTCGAAAAGTGTGCGCTCTTTTCAGATTACTATCGGCCGGCTGCAAGGTGATCTGATGAGATTAGACAGGAATATAGACCCATAATGCATGTATCAACAAAAATAATCGCTTTTATTAAAACTGCGATTGATAAATAGTAACTGATTAATGATTGAATTGATTAATTAGCCTATCTAAAATATTAATTTATTTCATATAGTTCAGACTCAAGAAATTAACTGAATGTTCGAAATTGTTTTGCTATTACATTAAAGGCATTCGCTTAATTGGCAAGCAATATTGCTTAAATAATTCATTTTCTATTACAGTTATAATTTTATGTCATTTGTATGGTACTGTTGTATATTGCTTTAGTCAAACGAATGCTGCTGGCATGCGTAGCTTTAAGGCAGCCTACAGCTTTTAGTAAATTACACATTAAATGAATAATGACTTAATTCTCCATAAAATTTTTATTGACTATTAAACTTGCTGTTTATCAAATAGCATCGAGTTAAATTATGAAGCACTTGTTCTGTTGCATAGACATGGTGGCAATTGTAACGTTTTTGCCTTAATTTCGGGATAATGTTTAAAAAAGTGTATAATTACAAACCACTTGGAATGACTTAAACAACTACTCTTCGTACGGCTTAATCTTATTGTCGTCTTTCATTTTATACTTTTATTTTTAGAGATTAAGGCCTATCAGCCTTGTAGGCATAGCAACCGACTGGGCAGAAGATGGTTTTATCTGTCTTACATCAAATTCCCTGTTTGCTGGCCCCGCATGAAAAGGGGACCGTCGAGGCGCAGGAGCCAAGTTGTGCTTGTCTGTAGTGGCGGCAAGTGAAGTCTGTCTTGTGACCGGGTCGGCTTCGTGCGCGCAATCCGGTACCTGGCGCCAGCCTCGAGAGCAGCCGGTCGCGGACACAGTCGCCCACGCCGGCTCGAGACCGGCTCGGGTGTGAATGATGCGTGCGAGAGGAGAGATGCGCGAACGGGCCTGATTGTTTCGAGCTGAAGCGGTGGAGGCAGGAAGAGAAGAAGCGGAGGAAAGTTAAGGTAGGTATTGCTTGCAAGCGGAGTGGAGAGCAAAAAATGTCTGGCTGAAAGAGGACAAGAGCGGAGTGTATATTGCTTTGAGGGCTTCAGGAACATTTTATTGCGAATCCCAGTAGCTAATGGCCAACTTCGTGGCAACTCATGGGAAGGTCTCCGAGAGCAGGAAAGCATACTTTAGGAATCAGTGCAATAATACATAATTGTTGAGCTTACTTCCATTTCGAGTAAAAATGTTGCGTGAAGATACAGCGTCATCGTGAATCTTCCAGTAGAGCCAATCGACGGCTGGTCCAGAGGAATCGGCCGTCATCTTCTGGTGGCATCGATCTTCGAATCTTTTTACGCAACACTTTCACTCGAAATGGAAGTAAGCTCGACAATTGTGAAACGAGAGATTCCTCGAATCCGCTGTCGTCTTCTGGTGGAATCGACCTTCGAAGCTCTTCACGCAACACTTTCACTCGAAAGGGAAGTAAGCTCAACAATTGTGAAACAAGAGATTCCTAGAACCCCAACTTTTCTTCGCAATAGTACATAAACCCTTGTCACCTCTTGTGCCCGGTCTTGCCAACGTATGATTTGATTGGCCACCTCAAAGT